TCCCGGCAGGAATTCGCAAGGACGACTGGTCGCCCCGGCGAGCATGCGCCCCGTAGAAGAATGAACGCCGACGACTGCATAAACACACAATTCGTCTGTCCGCAGTTGTAGTATTTACTCAGTCGCGAGTAATACGAGATACGACACGATCCAGACCTTGGAATGGGAACAATGTGAAGGAGTTATTATCTGCTGATATAAAACAACAATAAAACTAAATTTAGAACAAAATTATCTTCTTACACTTCTAATAATACCAAAAACTTAAAATTGAGACATTATATGATGATGATCATAGCAAATCACCTTTTTTTCTTCATAAAATTATCGTATGTTAATGATACGGAATTATATCGTCTCAAAACATGCACCAAGGAAAGGATCTTCAGGCAATCACAAATGTTTATCATCTGTTTACTTCATGATGACTTATTTTCATGACTTTACTGAAAATATACTTGTTATTGAACTTGAGCTTTACTTAACTTGGTTAATTCATTAACTTGCGATGACTTAATCCACTATTTTCCAATTTTAGTCTTTTTTACTACTCAACTGGTGAAATTTATTTTACCGACACTTTTTTCTCGATGGTGTGAGTGGTAACTAAACCGTTAAAACACACGCACCAGATTTTTTACGATTGCGTTAATTTTTACAGTCGGCGGCACGAGATGTGAGCTAAACCTTTAGACGCTTTTAAAGCCAACACATCCCAAGAGACGAGAGCACAAGGACGAGATCATCATCGTTTTATTCAGGCGTTCGTGCGCCGCTTTGGCAATCACACTCGCGAGAGACGAAATGAAGACATAAACAACCATAAGGCTTTAAAAGCTCGACATCTCTTTGAATCAACGCTACTTTCTTTTAAATTTTTGTCTTTAATAAAATTTACAGAATCCAAGGATTTTAAAGATCAGAATAAAATATATTACACATTTTTCTGTTTATATATAATGAATAAATACTCTGACAGGAAATTTTTAATAATTATTTTTTGGAATAATTTTTTGTCATTTCAACATTTACAGCTTATAATCGCGCAGCTGATGTTGTTAAGTCAAAATTCAATGGCGCGATCAAGTCAATCCAGTAGGATTAACTCGACGATACAAGATGATTAGCGGATAAATAAGACTCATAATACGCAGGAAATTAAACTAGTTCTTAATCGTCGCTATCGTTTCTGCTTCACTTTGGATGGCGACGCGTCACCAGCGTCGACTAATTCCAACCGCACCTTTATTGAGCATCTTATTAATATCTGTTATTTTGTCTTTTTTTTATCTTCACGTAATCACGTCCTAGGCTTATGTATCGCTAGACACAATCTGCTTATAAATAGGTTCTCATTAATTAGTAGATTTATCTTTCATATCATCGCTTTTTAATATTAATAACAAAAATAACATTTTAATTTTTTAATTTAATTAAATTTAGTTGAGAAAAGTTTAGATAATACAACCATATTAATTAACATTTGTTTCAATTCAAATTTACCCATTCAAAGGTAACAGAAAACCAAATAAAAAAGCATGATCAAACGAATCAGTTACGCAATCCGATCATCTATTGGTTTCATGTCGAATTCTTGGATTTTCTAGATGCGCGCATTAATTTTTCCTTGCATTGATTTTCTTGGAAATGAGAAAATAATTCCAGTGTTTCTTGCTGCGCGGCGGCGAGGCGCATAGTTTTTACAAATACGATTGGGAATTAATAAATATCTTGGGAGGAAGTGATCTTTTGTTCGCCGCAAACGACGGTAATGACAATTGATTCGATTCGATCGCGCGCGTCGCCGAATAATTTCGATTATTTATTTAAGGAATTACTCGGAAGCGCAACACCTTGCACAAACCGATGCTGCGCTACTTTTCTAAGAAAAATGATACTGAATCATTGATCAGCCTGGCGTAATGAAGTATTCTGGAAGATGCAATTCAGTAGGTAGGAATTCAATTATGAGAAAAACGTAAAAGAATTGAAAAATATTTGATTAATAATTATATCATGCACATAATTTATGTTTTACCTTCATGAGTTTCATATACTCATAATGTTTCCTTCTTATAATTATCATTTACACAAGCACTTAATGACACCTTTCAAGACACCTAGACTGTTATTATCCGCAGATAATTCCGTTTTACATGCACAACTTGCATTACGATACCAAAATGACATAATTTTAGCGACGCAAAAGTTTTTCTCATATTCAGACTCGAAATAATAAACAATACCATTAATAATACGATTATAATCACTAAATAATGCAACAAATTCGCCGCGACTACATGCTGCTAATTAGCAAATTCCAGCTTTTCAGTTTTGTCGCGCATGCATTATGCACACGGCTACACATAAATTACTTATAAATTATTCGATAAAATAACGCATGCGACTGGAAAGCAAAGTCGCGCGACCGGCACAATGCACGTAGAAATTAACATTAAACATTAGCACTACCACCAACACGCGAGTGCCATCATGTGTCGAGTTGCGACGAGCAAGCGTTGAAGTATATGCGCAAAAATCAGACGGCATTTGCGAATGCGCGCGACGAAGCGGCAAAAACCACATGAAATAAGGTCGCCAACGGGCGTATTGTGCACACACGATGGCGGGTTGTGATGATGGCGACGGCGAAGAGTGTCAACTCGCATTAGTGTTCAACGTACAGCCATAAAGCTGCGAAGAGCTTGACATGCGAGCTGAATATGAAGTGAGAGTATTAAAGGTCGCACATGATGCCGACATTAAACATGTAAAACAAAGAGTTGAACCTGTGGAGAAACTTGTAACTCCTAAAATGTAAAACACAATTAAATACTTTAACGAACGAAAAGGGAATTATTTAATGCTGAATTAACGCTGCAATTAATGTTTTTTAATTACTTGTTGAGTGCTAAAACACTATTTTTCTGTGTTTTATTGCGCTTTGTGCTAAATTCGTTTGTATGTCAGAAGATCATTGACAATTTAAATAAATTCTTTGTGCATTCAAGCAGCATATTGCTCTTTTTCTGTTGTTTCAAGAGGGTTGTTGTCTTCTCAGTGGCTGAAAGCAGGGAATGCGACGTTTTCCAATTCCGAGATCAACTGTCTAACTGTCTTCCTGGTATTACAAGGAGATGTCTCCAGGGAAAACTAGAACACATTTGAGAACAAAGAAAAATATACTTTTCTAAATGGTTTAGGAACTAATCAACTTTTAGCGTTTATATTTTTTTCTGTTTTTATTGTGATAATGCGAAACGTAATAATCACTTTAAAAAATGAGTACCATCAACCTGATTCTGGAATAGCTGCTGCTGGCTTGTTCACATTGAGGAACAAGTTAACGTTTTCGAAACCAGTGAGCATGACATGACAGTTCTTTTTGCGCGCTCGAACCATTTATCTCAATCAAGCGCCGGAGCCGGCGCGCTCACGTATCGCCACCATTCCGATAGCGATGCCACTGCCATGTTCCCTCGTGCCTAGCTCCACGGATGAGAAGATGGGACGCTTTCGACGGGCCGAAGCTGCCGGCCGGCAGGACGCATCCGTGATACCAGCAGGTGACCGACTAATGATCCCACCAAAAATCCTATGATCTATTACCATCCATTCTACGGGCACGACTCAATTCCATTCTCAACTCAATTCCAAGCCACGACCTCACATAAAACACTCGTAAAATTGAAATTAATACATTTACATCGTGATAAAACGGATAGAGTCATCTAAGATGGGCAATGTTAGAAGGATCAACGACGGGTCATTAGAAATAAAAATTTATCACAATTTTTCTCCACCAATTAAGAGATCTGCTTGACGGTTGGGTTACTCAGTGACACTCTTGGTGAAAGATACCAATCAGTCGCGTTGAATATCGGCAATTAATAAGCGCCCGATCAAAATGCAAATGATTGACAAGACATTAACACGAAAACTCGGCGCGTCGCCGACGCTTAATAGCTTCGTTTCGAATTAATGGTAACGTTGACTTTGACTTAGCCTTCACCTCGGTGGATCCGATAGAAAAGTATTATTACTATTATTAAAAGCTGTGAATTTGAATATAAATGTGATTCACAGTGTCGGCGTTTCGTCATAATCGTCGAAATAATGATCGACACCGCTCACGCTTGGATTAATAACAACAAATTAATATTTAAATTGGGATGCTTCCTATATGTAAATTGTTCCGACCTCTCATTCCGCGTCTAAATTGATCCCACTATATTGCTCAATTTATAATTTAATGAAATTGTGCGTCTTTGTTGCTTACCTACTTTCAGGGGCCGAAGATGCGCTTTGTATTCTCAAGTTAATTTCGTTCCTTCCATTTTTTATTAATGCTAGCAATCGCAACCGCGCCGGCCTGGATAAGTGTATAATTTACGATACAATAAACCGTTTGCTTATATGACATCGTAAAACGGTAGACGCACGAGCAGAAGTGGACGTCGGCCATTTTGTTACACTTGATACTGAAACAATATCGAATTCAGACGGAAAGAAATTGCTTGTTTTATCAAAGCAGTAAACATTCAACACTGGCGCTCATCGTAAAACGCCAACAGAAGATGGAGTTAAATACTCGAAATAAAACGTATTAAAATCGGGACTGTAAAATTTTAAATCGTAAATAATTAATATTCTCAAACAGTTCTCATTTATGGATTTTGTTCATTTAGCAAGATATTACGAGGCGAGGAAGCTTCGTTTAAATTAAGTTATAAAGATATAATGAAGACAGCCTGTTAATGCTATTTAATATGCTAGAAATAATTAAAATACCGCACGAAAATGTCACCACTTTTATCTCATACGTATACTTCACGGACTTAGGTGACCGGTTCTCAATCTCCAAGTTTGGAAACGTTTTAATGGCAGTTATTAAATTTTAGAAAAATATAATTAATTAATGTGTCTCATATGAAATTCCAAGCGACTCATTTAATAGGTTGATTTTCTGATTAACTATAATTTTTGAATTTCAGTAAATGATTGAGCTGAGAAGCAGAGGTACGGAATGCGAGAAAATGGTAAATAAAAGTTGGTTGTGTGTCAATGTTCAAAGAAGTGTGCACTTAACAACTTTATTTGTCTCCACGATGTACTCGAACTGTCCCCATGTCCCAATTTGGTTAGTAATGAAACTCGACGTCGGAAACCGAAGTCAATGTGGACAAACGACTGTTAAACTCTTTCAAATAAAGCCACAAAAAGGATGGTTTGACGACGCGGTTGAGAAGTCCCTCCGAAGCGTGGTGAATGTTTTAATTGGTAATTGGTAATCGACAAGGTCCGCACATAGCAGTGCGACAAAAAAGGGTAAGTTTCCTAGAAGCGCTCGGTTCTCAAACAATACGTCCAATTTGTGGCGCGTCGGAAGCGTGTCCACAGGGTCGAAGTTTAACGACTTCATAATCGCCCCGGTTTTTATTTACTCGGCCGCGTCGACCGTCACTGCGACAATTTGTAATGCAATTGAGACCTCGGTAAAGAGCGCGTCCATGCGCTTCTCCAAATTGGGTGGAATCGGGTGGGAATTTCATGTTTTTCCAGCGGAGTTTTAAACCGACCCAAGTGCACACAGTTTGAGTCAATGTGGGTATTCAACGGGATCCAAGTTAAGTTGGACATCGACATTTGAGCAGCGCTATGTGCAGACGACTTAATTTAGACGTGCGGGGAGACATTCACGAGTGGTGGCGATGTCGAGCAATGCGACGCACGGCCGAGCTTAATTTAAAACGTATATATCAAATTAAGTTTCAAACCGCCGGCGAATTGTCGAGCGTCTCGTTCCAGGGAATTCAACAAAAGACAGTAATTTTTATGTCTCAATTACACAACACAAAGTGAGACATCGCGTATTATCGGAATTAACAAGCACAAACAGCAACAGTTTTCACACCAAAAATTTTCCATTATTTTTGACAAGAAATTCCGACACTTTAATGAAGTTGTAATTCTAGTCATTAAATACGCATCAATCTAAGATTGAAAAATATTTACATTTAAAGACTTTTTACGGATTTAAGATGCAATCCCATAAACTCATCTTCGTGTAAAATACCTGCAGATAGCAGCCCAGTACCAAAATAGGTGTTTAAAGATTAAAGATATCTGACAGCATTGAACTCAGTCTATCGATAGGCCGTTATAGGTAGACGTTATTTAAAGTTTCAATCCGTCTCGTCTCACATCCAATGTGAGTAACTTAAAGTTCAATATCGAAAGTCGCCTCGTAGAGCGCGAGAAGTGAGGTAATGTTATGTATCTCTTCAAACAACATCATATTATGCATGCATACATTGAGAAAATCAATCTGCGCCTTTATTGCTTCATTATAGGTAATAAAAATCGAGCGTGTGTTGAATAAACTATCCGGCGCGTCAATGTCCACCACCAAGTGTCGATTAAAGCGAAGAACAAAACCGAAACTGAGCCAAGTTGCTACAGAAACACGTAAATGTTTTTAATGATGTATTAAATGGTAAAATTGCACGTCTTTTACATATTTAAGTGTCAAGTCTGCGGGACGTTTATAATGGCGACGGGAAATTGGTGATTATTGCGTTTTACGCTAGATTTTTTTCTTGTGTGGGCCAGTTTTTGATCACACTCGGTGTGCTGTTGAATCGAACGAGATATTAATGTAAATTGAAGGAAAACAAACGGCGACAAGTCGAACGCGGTGCGTTGTCTGTCCACTTAACACTTATTTGTTTGCCTGTCCGAAGAGCAGTGGGTTCGTTTCTGACCACGACGAGTGGTTTTGTATTCATCGAACAAATTACCATATAAATATCTACATAATGAACTCTTTTTTGAGATCTATCAAGTTGGAGCCCATCGATCGAACACTTGACGACGTGCTCGAATAAAACTTAAACGATCGTTAAATGATGAACTTGAGTTCATTCAGTGACTTAAGTCAACATCAACTAACTTAAGGCAAAAGGGTAGGAACAAACATTTTATTTTATTAAAAATAAGGTTAGAATTTTTAAACAAAATCGTTGAAATTCCATAAAAATGTTTAGTAAAAATAATTAAATTTAAAAATGTTACTTATTTCAAGAAAGACATAAATAAATTACAATTTGTTGATAAAAATTTGAAAAAAAAAGTGTTTAGAGATGTGATTAAACAAAATAAAAATATGTACTTTGTGTGTTTCCAAAATCCATTGTTGATATTCTGGATAACATTCAGTAGTAAATACCACATGGTCCTAAGATGAAAATCTTGTCAACTAAGTGGTTGTGGGAACACGGTGGGAATGTTAACACATGTGCTCCTTCGACATGTTTGCCTACCCAAAGGTTTGTCGATTCCCTTTCGTTCCATTCTGGTTCCCACTTAAATCCCTTGAAGAATTAATCTAAAATTGTCACTATCCAAAAATACTTGCAGATTTTCTTTTTTATATTCATCTGAATTCATGCTCACTTTAATATTTAAGTACATTGTAATTTATGATGCAAGTTTTGATATGATAAAATACTTTTTCAATTAATCATCGCTTCCGTTAGTTCTCAGTTCCAGAGTCACGATTTTAGACACGAGCAGCCTGTGTTTGATAGGCTTTGATCCTTGTAGTTTGATGTTACTGTTATTCTCTTTACAGTCTTTATGCTTCGATTTTCTGATGCATTCTTCGATTCTTCGACACAGCAACAATACGTGAGAAATAATCAAGGCAGCGTCAAAGTAATCGACCGAGAGCTTTTTTTCCTGCAGCGTGCCTTTTCACATGAACCTTACATAAAATCAGCGTGAATAATTCGGACTATTCGGAGGTTTTGTCCTCGCGTTGCGTTTTTATCATGCGATTGAGTACCGATTTTAAGACGTCTTATAAATTCCGTTCATCTATAGGGAGATCGATGCATTGACTAATGGAGAATGCAAGACCACTTTTTTGTAATTTTTTCCTTGTTATGTTGAAATCCTGCTTGGATGGAAAACTTGACGTGGTGTAATATGAAGTTTTAAAAATTACATGCCTTGTACGCTGGTAGCATCAGCTAATCTTAGTTTATTAATGGACGAAATATTTCGAAATTTTGTCTAAGGCTATTAAGTTATTCACGGTCGAGCTAAATTATGTATCGACCAACAACTAAATTAACGCAGACGCGGAATTTGGTGTTTTACATATTCCTATTACACTTGGAACTGATTGCAAACGTTGAAACATATAAAATAAGTCCCGTTTGTGTTTTAAATGAGAAACATTAGAAGCGATTAAAAACGCTTTTGTCGCTACTTAGCATTCAATCATTTGTGAAATTGATTTGTTGAAGTCTTAAATTTTTTAACAAGTCGTCGCCTACCATAAGAAGCAATCAAATTAATTGACAACTTCCAAAGAAGAAACTTGAAAAAAAAAAGAATGTTTTTTGCATGTTAAGTTTTAATTAAAACCAATTGTCGGAGTAATTTATTTAAAGTTTTGTGCATAGTAGATGTCAGATTTATGAAGATATCCTAGAAATCTTTAATTAGTAATTTAAAATTAGTTCGTGTTCGAATTTCTACTCGTTTCCTTGCGCTAGTTAGACGAAGTAAGACTTCCTATCAGTTTTGCCAATTTCCTGCTCTTCAACAGTTTTCCACTCTTTATGAGTCGACTTGGAAGTGATGTTACTCCGAGTTGGTTGGTATAAGACTATTAAAATCGCTTTACACCAGTTCCTGGACTAGTCTTGGCTTCCTTTCAGCAGGTATGAGGTGGCAGTGGAGCATCACTTGATTTAAATTGAAACTTTTGGACTTGCCCAGCCAAGAACTAGGAGTATGTTGAAATAGTGGCGTGAACGTTTTGTTTTGGTGGCGGGATAATGCCGGAATGAATGGCCGCGGAAATGCTAAGAGGGAAAAACGAAGAAAACTCGCACAGTTACTCGTGTCTGGCGTCGGCAGCCACTGAGCAGTGACTGAAGGTAAAAAGTTTAATACTGCTTTGTTCCCGGAATAAAATGCTTGGAAGAGGGTAGGTAAGACTTACAGGGACGAATCGGGACTTTCAAGCAGACTCTCGAGTGTAAACCATGAAATGTAGAAGAGTTTTCAGCAAGTTTTTCGGGATACACTGGGTGATCTTGATTTTTTTTAAATTTAATTAGAAGGTTAATTGAAAATTCACAAAAATAATTAATCAATAAATCTAAGAAGTCAATCATATTTTAAAACATAAAATTACTAAAATTTTATTTACTATCAAAATTGAAACTGAAACACTCTGGATTCAAAAAACTTTTTATTCCAACTTTAAAAGTTAAATAGTTTAAATGAACTTTAATGTGCTGAGATGGAATCTTTCCTATTAAGCGTCCAGAAATTTTCATCATGCAAAATGAGTTACAAAACCACAAGTGGGAAGTGGAATTAAATTTTCATTTGGTTTGCCACACGAATTGTAAGATAAAATCATGTCTGGAGCTTCTAAAAATGGTAAACGTTGGTGATTCAACTTAAGACGCTGAAGTAGTGGACAAAAGATGCTTTGACAGGTAAATCTGTATTCGCATAAATCTCTATCTCAAATATGTATCTTAGTTTTTAAAGTGTTCCATCTGTCTGTGACGCTTTTTAAGCTTCTGTTTAATGTTTTTTTTTTCTTCAGGTTAAAATTTAAGAATTGAATTGACAGATGAACAGATGAACAAATAAGGTGAAATATGAACGTGTTGGGGGTCACATTTGTTTGATGAGACTCTAGAACCAGATACGTGTTCGCATCTTGATGAGCACACAATTGCTGCTAAATTTCTGACAAATTTCTTTATTGCTGCGTTCTCAGCGCATCGCTGGTGCATATCAGTTTTCAATGACTGCCAAACAATGCCTTGAAGTATGCCTGGGTAAACACCGGATTGTGCCTGAACAAATAAAACATTTCGACATAATTTTGTGAGTTTATTCGTGGTGGCGTCTGCAAATTTGTTCTCCACTCATCGAACGCCTTTTGGCCGAGATTTTCGCACACCGAACAGGTAACAGGTAGTCAATGCACACAGTACAATCATGTCAAAATATTGTCGAATGTTTGGTTTTATAACAATTCAAAAACGCAATAATTCAACGCCCCGGTAGGGCCATTCAGAGGCACAAAACGTAAAGAAAACACGATTTGTGGCGCGAAGAAAAGAAAATCTTATATACAAATAATAACATAACATTTAAAATGGCATAGATGTGAAAAATGCAATCGGAGCTAAGCAGGAGGAACAGTTCGGGGTATTTGAGGTTGGTATTAACGTAGAACGCGATGTGGTCATTGTGGTCGTTTGGGATACGTCGTCATGTTTGATTTCTAT